AAAAAAAAAATTTTTTTTTTTACTAAAACTTATTGTTTCACATTTATTTTTATATAATTTATTGTGCAGCATAAATTTGTCAAATAGAGTTGCATGATTTATATGATTAAGTTTTTAATATTAGTAAAGTAAAAGAAACTCAAATATTCATATAATTTTTATAGTAGGTGCTATTGAAAACTTCAAGTGGGTTTTTTCAAAAAAGTAATATTTTAATGATATTAAATCAAATAAAAATTTAAATAATATAGTCTGAAAAGATCAATTTTTCAACTATAGTTGCATGCTTTATATATTAATAAACAGGTAATATAATACATACAGGTAATATAATAATATAATATATTAAAAAAAATTTAAAAGAAACAATTTTTTTCTTTTTTTACCAAGTGATACATCAACAAATTTAAACAGTTTTATTTTCTAGCTTAAAAAAAAAAAAAAGCTAAAACTTTTTATAAGAGAACTTTTTAAAATTATTTATCTAAAAATGAAATCATTTTCCTAGGGTTAATTATTTGAAAACAAATGGGACAAGTAACTGATACTCTTTATAATTATACGTAGTTTTAATTTCACTTTCTATTAACCTTATTATAAAAACATGTAAGACCATTAAATATTTATTTCAGTTTTTTATTTAACTCAAGTCAGATGAAATTTTAGTTTTTACTGATTATAAATATTTACAGATTATAATTTAATAATACAGTATCTCTGTATATATGTGTGTGTGTGTGTGTATGTTTAATAAATATTATAACTCTATGAATTATACCTACGTATATTTACGTGAGGTACAATTTACTTAGTAGTAAAAAAAAAAAAAAAAAATCTGGTACGCTTTATGATAAAATTTGGTGTAAGTAAGACGATTGCTTTTAATTTTATCATAAAAAAATCACTTTAGGAACTCGTTTCACATTATTCTTTAAAGAAATTTTATTCATCGTAAGCATAACACATACTTAAATTATCATTTAAATTTTCACAGCTGGTCTTGCCAAACTGACAGTGAAGTTCCCCGCAACTGTCAAGAAGTCTTATGGATCGATGATCTTGACATTCGTTGGGAAGAATGGAGAAAAAGAAAACGTGACGCTAACAGAGTAAGTTAAAACCCTCATAGTTTTCAAAATTAAGAAAGAGGAAGTACAGGGGTTGATCAAAAGAACCTTTCAGCAACGAGTGTTTTGGATGATTTTGTAAGGCAAAACTGTTGGTATAATCAGAAAGATCACGCTTGAAGCTCTTATATATGATGTCACTTTTATCGATGCTAAGTTCGTATGAACCAAAAGGAACATTGCAATTTAATAACGTCTATTTAGCTATAATACCTGAAATTTTGAAATCATTCTACAGGTTTGTAATATTTATGTAAAAATCCTTTTTTAATTATAATAGTACAGAAAAAAGAAATCGCCTTCTAACTTCCTAGATTTATTTTGGTCGATGTCAATTTAGCATGGTCCCATAGGCCATCATTTCTAAAAAGCTTCAAGCATGATCTTTCAAATTGTGCGGACAGTTTTGGCATGTAAAATCTTCCCAAACATTTGCTGCTGAATAAAAGATTATTTGCATAGAGTTACTGAAGAAGTGTTCTCCTAATTTTTAAAAACCCGCAATATTTTCGAATTAATTTTTTTTAAAAATTGCGAATAACTATGAGATTGTTTTAACTCAGATTTTTTTTTTATGTTGAAGCAGTATAATATTCAATAACTGATTACTACTTGCGCCTAGTACTTAGTTAAAAAGATGGTTGCTTATTCTAAAAAATAAAAAATAGTGCTAGTAGATGTATTTTACTGTTAGCATTTATTATGAAGAAAAAAAAAATTTCTATCAAACATAATGTATTATGTTATAAAAATGAGCATAGGTAACGCCCCCGATATTTATTTACAAATCGTAGCAAATCACACCTAATTGACGAGGGAAAAAACATGTTGGTGTTCGGCCTATGAAGCGTTTTCGCATGTGATTCGCGCATCCGTAAGCCGTTCGTCTTAAAAGTAGTTTCAAAATATCCGCATGTGCGTTCGCAGAGATGCCAACTTGCTCCGGACAGCGAATAAATATTATCGAATAGTAGTTTATTAATTGTGATTCTTTGTTTAATAAAGTCAATTTAGTAGATTGTTATCTACCACTGTTTCTAAATAATTCATAGGCTTATATATAAACCACTTTATCATGGTAAATCATGTTAAACCAGTTAAAAAGTAAGCAAAATTAGACAAATATTAGCAATTTTTAATTTGTAGTTATTTACCTTTATTAAAGTTATTTTGGCGTGTCCGGAGCAGTTGGCATCTCTGCGTTCGGGACAAAATGTGGGGTGAATGGTTCAGACAAATCTGCTTGCTGCCAAATACTCTGCTACCATGTTCTGCAGATTCAGCATAGCACAAGCCTTCTTTACTTTCTGACCATTTTATTACCACGTTTATAAAAACTTGCCTTCGTGTATGTCTGTCCGGGTGGAATTTTGTAATCGATTTTAAACTAACTTCCCGACTAGCTACAAACTTCAAATTTGGCACACAGTTCAGAATTGGATGACAATGCATGAAAATGAAGAGAAAAAAGACATACAAAGAAAAAAAAATTGAAATTTAAAAAAATTATTATTTTCGAGATTGTCTTTTGTTGTCGATTCCATTATTTCAAATTAGTATTACATGTCAGGTGAAAAGATTTTTATTGTCGGAGTATTTTTATTGGCTGAAAAATCACGTGGTAGGATCCAGTTTTTCCTCATTCATTTCCAGATTGTTTTGGTTGTCATCAGCATAAAACTAATGAAAGTCGTAAAGGTATTGTTTTTCTATAAAGATTTTTGTATCCCTAATTTAAAATGAAAGTTCTATTATTTTAGTAGTGGTCTTGTAGTAGTCTTGACTACTCTTGACTAAGAAAAATAATCTAAATAAAAATATATATTTTTAAAAACCACGTTTTTTGTAGTGAAGAATAATAATTGAAAAGTAATAATTTTTAAAAAATATAAAATAAAAATTAAAAAAATTATAATTTAAAATAAAAAAATTCAAAATAAAAAATAATATTTTTAAAAACCACGTTTTTGTAGTGGAGAATAATAATTAAAAAAAAATTGAAAAACGAAAAACGTGGGGCGCATGAAATACATAACAGTACATATACACATACATATACACATTTTCTTACTCATACACATGCACAGCCACATATACATCCACATACATATGCATATACACAAACATATTCCACATCCACATTCAGATACAATTACAATTACAGATATACATACACATATTCTCAAGAGCACACATACACACACTAATATAACATTACTGTTATGTATTTCATGCGCCCCACGTTTTTCGTTTTTCAATTTTTTTCTTAATTATTATTCTCCACTACTAAAACGTGGTTTTTAAAAATATTACTTTTTATTTTGAATTTTTTTATTTTTTTTAAATTTTTTTTATTACACTTTAGGAAGGATGAGAAGCTTTCCCCTGGCGGTGGAAAATTTCAAGCAATGCCCATATCTGATATTGTCGGTCAGTTGGATTCAGTTCAGGCTCTGTACCTGAGATACAATGGCTTCTTTACGAAAGGAAAGGAAACCTTTGGAATAGCCTCTGTCACCATACAGGATTCGGATGACAAATATATGTGAGTCACTTCAATTTCTTACTCCTTAAAATATTCTGAAACAATGGTGAAGTGAAATTCGTAGTTAAGGTTGTAATATGTTAAATTTTACAGCTTATTAGGAAAATTACGCATCTCGCTTGTTTTTTTAAAAAAGAAAAAAAAAGATAACCAATAAAAAATATTGACTTTTTTAAAAATTAAATTTGTTGAAATTTAATGGCTTAAAGTTAGTACCATTATAAGACATGAGTTCTTACATAAAACTGCAGCATCGCAGAGTACGTAAAACATCAATGATGTATTTGGCTTTAATGTTATACTATAATAGATTCTCAACCTTTTTAACGTTACCGCCCCCCTAGGGAGTAAAAAAAAATTGCAACGCCCCCACCCCTTTTGCGAAAATCTAGTTATTTTGAGAAAGGGGTTGGAGGGGGTGCTGAATTATAAGAAGCAACATTTTTAAGCAATTTTTTCAGAAGCTAAATTTGCTTGTTTTTTGTTTTTTTTTGTTTTTTTTTTAAATTTATGTGCACGTTAACTCGATATTTTTCTCCCGTCAGGTAAACGCAGTCTATTTGTTATGATAAAAATAAATACAGTATTGGAAAAAAATTACAACAAAGAAGCCTATGATTAAAATGAGTAATTTATTCTTAATTCGATAATGAAAAAAACACCCAAAAATCATTTTTACTCTAGAAATTATTATCAACGAAGCAATCAAGTAACTATGATAGTGGAATGAATTTACTTGAGGGTTCAGAGCCAGTTTCTTAACATTCGGTTCAATATTTTTAGTGAGGTGAAGTCGCAAGTACCCTCTTTTTATTTTTATTTCTTTATTTTTTATTTTTATTTTGTGACTACATCCGTCACAGCACTGAATCTTTGTTCGACAAGGTAGGAGGAAGGGAAGGCAATTTAAACTTTTTTGATGATAGTCCATAGCCCAGGCGAGTGGTGCTACCTTGAAGCCAAACAAAATTCTGTGAGAACATCACCATTTCAAAGTTTCGTTTCATCACTTGAAAGTTCGGCCGATTTCTCCTGAATCTGAACCTCTGCTGTTTCAATATTCACAAAATTCATTACCCATTGAGGGACTTCCAGGGAGAAAACATCTTTATAACGGTCGGAAAAGTCCATGTGTAAAGACTCAAGGTGTTAGCAATATTCTTGTGTATCGTCAGAGGAAATTTAACTATTATTTTCAAGATCCGATAAGATTGGAAATTGGCAAAACTTATTCCGATCAAAATTTTGTTTCGACAAAATATTTTTTTTAGAAAGGCAGAAAAAACTAATTTTGATGTGGTCAAATTGAGCTTGTGGCCTTGAAGTTGTAAATTAACACCATTAAATTTTGCAAATAAATCGATAATAGTCAACTTCTATCTTGAATTCTAGCAATTTGTCTTTCGAAACTACATTTCTGACTTCGAGGAACTCAAGTACAAAGTCGAAAAGATTCTAAAACCTATTGAGACAGGCGACTAAGGAAAGCCAGCGAATCTCAGTGTGTAGTAGCAAACGATTGAATTCATTGTTTGTATTTTTTTTACACAGCTTATGAATAATCAATCGTTGAGAGCATTACTGCGAATTTTGTTCACAGCAGAGCTTGACATATTGCAATGACTGATGTAAACGACTACTGAGATTTTTTTAACTAAATGCTGTCTTTGAATCCCTCTTCAAAAAGGCGATAAACCCACGATATGGTGCAGCCATTGCAGGAGTTTCATCAATGGCAAGAGATAATATTCGCAAGAGGAATATTTTTCTGTTTAAAATAATCTTTGGTAGTATTGAAAATAGATTCACATTGGGTTTCTACAATCAAGCTTCTTGCAAAAAGCATATCTTGAATAATTTTTCTTTCTTTAACAAACCGGACGTACGCCAACAGTAAAGCCTCATTACTTGGCGAGGTTGACTCATAAACTTGAGGGTAAAATACGTTGGATTTCAAAAGTTAGCATAAAGAAACTTCAATGACTCATCCATCTCATTATTTCGTCGCTACACTTCATCGTTGCTTATTGGTATATTTTTGATATATTTTTGATATATTTTTGATATTTTGCGTTGGTATATTTTTGATTACATTGGACGCAGCAGGATGGTACAAAACTGTTTCTAAAATTTCCTTGACAGCCGGCAGTATCAACTCTTTGCCGATGATATGAAAGATTCGCAGATTTAGCTAATAATTTTGATATATTATAAGAGGCTATCAAACTATCATCGCATTTTTGCGATGAGGTTGCTAGTAAGCCTGAGACCGAAGGTGCCATCAGAAACTTGTGCTTGATGCTCGTGAAAATGACAGATCTTTATTTGGTTTGTCAGGATGAATATTTTGCAAATGCTCCTGCAAACGGGAAGGTTTCATTGCCTCATTAGATAAAACTTTCTAACAAAGTAAACACTTGCGTGGTTGAGAGTTTAACGGCGATAGAACAAATCCGAACTTCAAGTACGTGACACTGTATTGACGACAATTCTTTTTGTTTATCGACATCGTTAGAGACAGCAAAATACAAACGGTGAAAGAAAATCAACCATTTCTCAAAATTAATAAATAATTTACAATAAAGCGCACGAACCTAGCCAAATAAACTGTGAAATTGAATTGAAACTGGGGGGAAGGACTAAAAGGAAGCTAACGAAAACCTTCATAAGAAACATGGGTCAAACCAAACATTCATACTGAAAGCACATGCATTTCAATTTTCGCCAAATGGCTCGTATGAGTCAAAGGTAAAAAAACTGACTCATGCTTTACGCTGGTTCGAATTCGAGAATATAGATCACATAAGTTTGTTTTATTGCTGGTACAAATGGTGAATCGGATAATCTTAATTTAATATATTGATTTAATCTTTCTTTTAACATTAGTTGTATATTAATTTTATTTATTAAATCAATAGTAATTTAATAATTTTATTTGGGAGCTTCAAAATTAAATTTGAATGACAAAACATGCTCATCGAACGCCCAAAACATACCCAACGCCCCCCTACTGCCCAAAACAAGTTCACTGCCCCCCAGCATACTCCTACCGCCCCCCGGGGGGCGGTATCGCCCCCGTTGAGAAACAATGCACTATAGCAATCAGTATCAAATTGGTTTGATCAAATTTCGTTCGGGTGACTGTGACGTAAAATGAGCCCCGTGATACTCTAGAAATTTAAGCGAATAATGATGAACTAAAAGTCACTGCTGAGATTGGTCAACTCCAAACTATTGTAACAGAAATAAATTATAACCAACTGTGCGAAATGATGTAAAGAATAACCTAAATTGGTCAATAGATCGACCCATATCTCATTGTATTGCAAAGCAAGATTACACACAGAAATGACTGCGGCAAAACTACAGAAATTAGAATTCGTCCATATTCACCTGGCCTAATCACTACTTTTTCCTCAATTTGGATACTTTTGTAACGCGAAACCAATTTAATAATTGTTGTTAAACAAAGCCTTTCAGGAAATTTTTTACTCTCGTCTGCCATGGATTTATAATACTGGTTTGCGCAGTCTGCTTCCTAGTAAAAAACGTTAAAATAAAATGTTTGTAGAAATAGAAACTTATAAGTTAACGACAAATTTCATTCTTGACATCCTATGATTTTTTTAAGGAAAGTGCCTAATTGAAAAGAGAATCCGCGTGATAGCTTCAGAAATATAACAGCTATAATTGATTATGATTATATGAGTATAATAGATTAACCAGTTCACATGAATGCATTTAAAACGAATGTAATGTCGTGCTAAGATGGATGCGTCTAGAATAAAAGAACGAGCAGAAATGGTTTTTAGGGGCAAGAGGTGAACGGGATGTGGACATTTATAGTCACATGTTTACTGTTTATGACGAAAACTGTTCATAATAAACCACTGTGAGTAAATGTTTTCATCCAGTAACAGCATCAAAATCAGATCTACTGAGACCCAAAACAAGTCCCTTGTGAAGCCATTACTGTCGTTAATGGAAAAATTAGCGTTAATCGAAGACTTACGACTAGGGACATCTGTGCAAATACTTAGTCGAGCATCGAGCATACATTGGAGCAATTGCCTTCTGTCCTTAAAATATATAAAAAAATTTCTGGAGGCATCCTTTTTAGTTCAGCTTCACACTTATTTTAAATTCTCTATTGTGAACTAGTCAATTAGTTAAATCTGTTTCTAACTATTCTGTCTTGGTGCCCTCATATTATCTTCCTCCATATCCATGTATCCTGGTACTGATATCGTCACTGTATTTCTGATGTTATATCACGTTTGTCTAACTCAATACACTTTTAGCCATTAATAAATTATTGGTACCACATATTTGACAATCATTTAAAAATTAATATTCTTTGATAATTAATTAAAATTTCAAGACCACTTTTATTTGTAACAAATTTTCTACCACTTTTAGAAAATTCCCAGAACTTAACATGGGAGACAATTTATTAATCTAATATTACCTATCCATGCGTGTTAAAAGTGTAACTTTACAATTTTTAATTCGAACTAAGTAGTGATGAATTAAATAAAGCAAACTACTACAACTCCAATTCAAAATATTAGAATAACCAAAAAAGGCATTGTATTACCTTATAAAATGCGTGATGTCTTTAAAAATAAACAACGGTGGCGAACGGAAAAATCATTAACCGTCCACAATTAGTTGACGTATGATATTATTGTTCACACGCGCCTAAAGAAGTATTAGAGATTTTATAAAAAAATATTTAAACTTTTCAAAATATTAAAATATTTCCAGAGGCGATTCAAAATATTAGAATATCTGTAAAATTGTGTGATTGGTCAACGTTAATCATAAAATTTGCATAAGTTGCGCCACTGTAGAGCTAGTACGCGTATAAAAGCTCGTTTGAAAATCAGATTTAGTTAGTTGGGAGTTAAAATGGGTCGAACGAAAGACATACCGGGCACTACCAAGACAGCGATTGTGACTCTACGCAATGAGGGAATTAGTCAACAAATGATTGCCAAAAAAGTGAATTGCTTTCAAGGAACTGTAAGCAAAATTTTAAAAGATTATTCTACAAATCAAAGTTTTAAAAATAATCTCTCAAATAGTGGTCGTAAACGAATAACCACACTGAGACAAGACAGAATGCTGAAACGTGTCGTCACTAAAAATCGCTTCAAGAGTTTGAGATTCATAAGTAGAAAGTGGAGAGAACAAGGAGTGGATGCCTCAACATCTACCACACTACGACGACTCCATGAACTTGATTTTCAATCACGTGTGCCCAAGAAAAAGCCGCTACTTACACGCAAGCAAAAACGAGCCAGAGTGAGGTGGTGCAAAGACAGATTGCAATGGGGTATTCAGGACTGGAATAACGTACTTTTTAGCGATGAATCGATGTTTTGCGTTTCCCACGGTCATCAGGGTGTCCGTGTTTGGCGTTGCAAGCAAGAAGCTTTTACCACAGATTGCTTGAAACGCTCAGTGAAGTTTAGCACTTCTGTAATGATTTGGGGGTGTATGGGTGCTGAGGGCTTAGAGAAGCTGTGCATTTTGAAAGGAAGGGTAAATTCTGAAGTATACAAGGAGGTACTTGAACATTTTATGATTCCGACATCGGAAGATCTATTTGAGGATGACTTTATCTTCCAACAAGACTCTGCATCTTGCCACACGTCAAACGCCACCACTACTTGGCTTACTAACAATAAAGTCAAATTACTTCCTTGGCCGGCCAATTCACCCGATTTGAACCACATCGAGAATATATGGGGTTTAATGAAAAAACGCCTTCAGGATTTAGCTCCAAAGGACAAAAATGAACTCACATAAAGCGTGAAATCCGTTTGGGCAACTATCAGCAAAGATGACTGCAAAAAAATAGCGCTTCGTATGTAAAATCGTTTGCGTGACGTTATTAAAACTAAGGGAGATGCCACTAAGTATTAACTATTCATGCAGATGTCATTTAAATTAATTATGCTATTTTTGTTCATGTTATTCTAATTTTTTGAACCACTGTGAAAATTTTTCTAATTTTTTGAACTTTTAGAAAAAATTCATTGTAAAAACTTTTGCAATATCATAATAATTTATTTATGTCATGTTCATCTACAAAACATGTAGAATGTGATAACACACTTCAAAATTCTCAGGTATTCATTTTTACCAAAACAAATGCATATCTCAAACCACTATGTGCTTTATTTATCATTATTCTAATATTTTGAATTGGAGTTGTATTACACCGCCTTCAAATAAACTTCTATAAAAAGAGTTTTGCTACCAGTTTTATCTTTTTTTACCCTGATTATCGCCACTCTGAGAATGCATATATGACTCACCCGTCTCGAAGAAGCTAAGTTTATACATTTTGTCAGGCTTCTGTCTAAATTAGTAAACTGCGTTTTTGTAACATTCCCTTTTATATAAGATTTATTTATTTGCATTTAGTGGTAAACAAAACCATGTTTAATTAAATTTATAAATCCAAGAATTAACAAGAAATTTGAAATATTCACTGCTACTTTATATTTAAAAATGAAATACTACGGGTAATCCGTAATGTTGCACCTGTGCCGATACTTTACTCTCATTTTGCAAACAAAAAACTTAAACTCTGAGAAAATTGATTCTTTACTTTTTCTTACATTATTTCCTCGAGCAAAAGCGCTCGAACCTCGTCTTCATCAGCAGCCAGCATACTAAAGTTTTTGAGCAAGCTGCTTCAATGATTCCAATTTTGAGCAAGCTGCTTCAATTTCCAATGATTTTAATTTCCTCGAACAAAGTTCTGGAACTACTTATCTAGCAATCACACGGACAGCTGACCCATCTCCTCCTACATCAAGGATCTCTGCCTATATCATGTGACTAGTGTCGAGACATCTTAAAATTAATATCTCTTTTATTGTTACTAATTAAAAACAAGTATTTTTTGGAGTGATAAATAACAGGAATATTCTATTGATCTACTCTAGCTCCATGTTCACACTAGTCCCTTTCTCACCCAAATTTTTTTCCTGCGTTCTTTTTTCCACCTACCGGACACCTGTATCCTGTTCTTTTTACCCTTTAGTACATGGTACTTTACTTTCACAGGTCCGGTAGGGTACAGGGCCTGTACCCTACCAGGCCTTTAAACTTTAAAGTGGCATCTTATAAAAGGAAGTGCCTGACAGTGTTACCACAAATTGACTACCGCTAAGAGATTCTTTTTCCCAGAATGCCCCGCATCTGTGCCTACCAGAAGTCATTAGTTCGTTTAAACTCATTTTTGGTTGATTAAAAAAAGCAAACCAAATGTAATTATTAAAATACGTAATGTGAGTTTTCACTAGTAAATTAAATAAATATTCCCAATAAACTGAAGTGAAAAGATGTTACCTGATTAAAAACGCTTTAAAAATATTTAAATAGGAAACAACAGTCGAGTGCCCTGGAATCTTGTTCTATTCATATGAATTCTGATTCCCTTGTTAACGACATTAGTTCCTCACCACCTCTCCGTAGCGCGTGGAAATGCATTTTACCCTGATTTGCCACTGTGGTTTTTCTTGTTCTGTTCTTCAACTTTTTCTCTCTCTCGGCTATTGTGGCTTTATTAAATTTTGTTTCTCACCTTTATTTTCAAATATTTCAATTTGGTAAACTTTTAGTTTCATATTTAAAATCACTTTTGTTTCTTGTCATTCATGTTTAGCAAGTCTTGAAAATGGGCGCCTGTTTTTGTGTGCTAGAACTGTTATTTTCTATTTATATATTTTTGAAACGAATGCTGTTTTTAATCAGGCAATATCTTCTATTGTTAAAAACGACGAATCAACCTTGAAAACCTTGTGTGTAAATTTGTTATTTAATATTTTAGTGTTTCGTTTTGTTACCAAACATATGAGTATAACATAGTTTTACCATTATGTTAACATTTACAGAAAATTTTTGAGTTGTAAATAGCAGGAATATTGATCTACTTTAAGGCCCATGTTACCATTAGCCCCCAATTCAAACCATATGCGATAAAAAGAACTATCTTAAAGGTTATATATTGAGTTTTGAGATAGTTTTCTTTTGTCTAAAAATGATCATTTAATTAAAAAAAATTAAAAACCTACTTGCAACGGAAAGTACATCATTACAAAATTTTAAATTTGGGAGGAAGTCGGATAAAATTTGATAAAATTATTGTATCAGTTTTTAAATCAATCTCAAACTAAAATCAGAGCAGAAATTGGAATTTTAAATCCAAGTAAAATCGCTCAGAGTAATTTAAATGACGTAAACGTTTAAGTTTATGCAAATAGTTTTAAAAGTTGAAATTATTTTTCAGATTTAAGAGTTGTGCAGATCCCGTCATTCTTACCGATCAACAATATCATACTTTGAAACAAACGGAGGCCAGCTGCTGATGAAAATATTGCGAAATTAAAAGAATAGAAAAAAGATTATGGATCCTTAAGCACAACATTTTACCAACCAAGAACTATTAACTGTTTGTTTACTTTCATGTTGTTCAATGTCTTAAATTCAAATAAAGAGCACTTTTAATAAAACGCTTTCTATGTTCTTTTCTCTTTTTCAAATTAGATAAGTTGAAATAAAATGAACAATTGTTTAGTAAATTTTTGCAATGCCTTTACAATCAGTTAAGTTATAAAATTACATTCAACATTAAAGTAACTACACTACAACATGGATTAACCCTTTGCACTTTAAATTGTTCTTTGATCTAATGTAGGTACTAAATCGTTTAAAATACTCATTATTATTGCAGGAGCAAGGTACTAGGGTTTGAACGTCCATGCCTATTCATCTTGAAATTATTTTTTAAGGTGAAATGAAAAATGGCATCCAATGTAATAAAACCTGTGTATAACGATACTGTCTATAGCGATAATGATATTTCCTTATTTTCCCGGTGAAATTCTTTTATACTCAATGTATTTTCAACCAGCTTACAATGATAACTTGATTTCTTGTGGCAAAATTTTTAAAATGCTGACAAAATTATGAAGTTTTCTGATAGCTTTAGATTTTAATTGATTACCACTCTATAAGATATTTTTCAAAAACCGTAGTAGTCGGCAACCCTGGAATGCTATGAAAATTTTCTTTGCTCCTCAAAATCTATAAAACTTCTACGAAGGTGTTTAGAAAATGTTCAAGGAGTTAGAATAGAGAAAATTACGATTCGATTATTAGTTCGAGAATTAAACTGTTAAAATTTTAGTAAAAAACCATGCTGGATGTTGGTCGATCAACTGTCCGTAACTTCCGGGTTAAAATTTGACGTGCTGATATGACCATTTTGTATCATGTTTTTTTAAAAAAAGCTCTTACAAAACTTTTTTTTCTAGAAATTCCTAATTGATTGAGAGTCATTGCAAATTTAAGTTGTTTTTTGTGATTTTTTTTTCGCAATTTTTGTTTTAAATAGTAATTATTTATCCGTTGATGAAGAAAGTTTATTTTTCCATCACGAGATCTTTGATTCTTTATTTTATAAGTTACCGCACTACTCGATGTCAATTAAAAGTAGCCGAAATAAATAAGAGAGAGAGAGAGAGGTCACATGATAATTTTTGTATAGTTGTGCCATTGCTACAATACTTTTTTTTGGTCAATTGATGAGTAGAAAATAGTTGTATGGGTCAGATGAATCACTTTTCACCACAACACGAAGGGTACATGTTTTATTTTATTTCATTTTTTTATAACAGTCATCGAACAGCCGACCGAATTTTATGAGTTTACGACTACCAATGTTCAACTCCATAGCCTTGTACTTTTGAACCCAGTCCAGAAGACAAGGGAACTCCTGGATAGAGTATTGGGAGAAATTTGCCTTCGTCGAGGACTTTTTGATGGAGCTAACCCGTATTTGCGTTAGATGGAGAGGAGGACCACGAGAACCTCCAACGGTTAGCCTGACGGCAAGGGGACTGTAATCCATGATCTGTCTACCTCTGAGGATATTTCACGTCAGCACTATGGTCGGTGCAATCCGGATGCGGAATTTGTATCGACTGGGATTCGAACCCGGTCAACCTCATTTGAAGGCGAACTCTCTATCCCCTGAGACATCGCGGCTCAAGGGTATACGTTACAAAGATATCTTCCTAAGCGTATGATCTTGATTGTCTCCTTCCTACTGTCAGGCATGAAGGTGGATCCTTGTCATGATATGAACAGCTGTGTTGGGGTCTTCTTCTGGCTCAATTGCAACCCTGAAAGGAAAGGCCAACGGGAAAAGTATAGAGAAGTTTCCACTGACAAGGTCCATCCTACAATGCAAACGTTCCTTGATTCCTGCAGGATATGGAATTTCTCAAGACGGTTTGTCCAATCATGTTTTGATGAACACATGATGTGAGGAAGTGAAACATCTATCTTTGCCCGCACATTCCCCCGAACTCAGTATACTAGAACTGTTATGGTCTATTTTAGAGCATTCAATCCTCAATCGATATCCTTCATCGACATCTCTCACATAACTCCATGAAGAATGGTAAATTATTCCACTGAACATTATTCAGAACTTGTATGATGTGATTCCCAGACGATTCCAAGCTGTGCGTGACAAAGGCTGTCCTACGCCATGTTAGTAAAGGATTCCTAATAAATCTAAGGTGTTTACATTATTTTGATAAACTTTGGTAAGTAAAAATTATTGAACTCTGATTTTTCACCAACACTTGTATTTGGAAAATCATTCTCAAAACCACTAAAAGTTGGTAAATAAGTTTTTTTTTATTGCAAAAGTAAATATGAATCAATTATATTTCTGCCGGTCTAGTTGTCATAACAAATTTTGTCACATTTTGCAATGAATTTTAATCGTTAATTAAAGAATCACATTGAATTTAATTAACCCAGACTTTATTTTAAAATATAATTCTTGCTACAACTGAAAAAAAATTCTATGACAAACCGCCATTTCAGTTCAATATCAAATCAAAATCAGAAGGAGTGTACAAAAAAGGAGTTCCCAGGTATAATTGACATTTTGTATATAACTTATCATATCACAGTCATAGTTTTATTTCAAGTGTGCTTAGTAGAATTAATTTTATCATCATTAATTTTATGATATCACAATAAAAATCTGTTGATTATAAATTGGTAATCCTTCTACACATTGTTTACTAAAATTAAATCTTTTGAAGTAAAGATCATATTATGAGAGACCCTGGGAAATAGCCTATCACCTACAGTGGAACACCTGTTGCGTTTGATGAAATAAAAAAGATATTTTTTCTTGATTAAAAACTTATTTTATCAATCGCTGCCAACGTGTTCAATCAGTTATTTAATCAGAATTTCAGTTTTCAGGATGTTGTCTATTTTATTCACGGGTAAGTTTGAATTATTATTTTTTTCAATTAAATTTATTTATGAATTGCTAATTGCCTTAAATGTATGTCAACGATTATAATATTCGTAATGTCTAGCGTAGATGCATTTATAAATTATTACTGATTTTAAAATAAAAGACAAAAAAACGTTTCTTTATGCTCGTAAAATTATAGTTGAAAAAAGTATTTAAAGAATGCCGTGGATTGTGATAGAAAAAGTCATTTGGTTTCAAAAATAGTGATAAAAAAATTGTTAACCTTTTATCAGATACTGGAATAAATACATTCCAAAAGATACAAATCTGTTGACTAGAATTAAAAATAAAATGTTCAAGAAAAAAATAATTATATCAGGCTAAAAAAGGTGTTTTGTTGTATTCATCTTTAAGTAGTTCACATTATTAATGAATACAATTTTGAAAATCAAGTAAGGAAGAGTTAGGCAAAGGCAGATAGGTGAGTAAAACCACATCTGGCACTTAGTGACTAAATAACTGCTGTCAAAAATCACATAAAACTAGTTGCAAATAGTCCATGGTATATGCGAAACTGAAAAAAGGAAACACTATTAGTAAAACCATTTAAGTTTTAATTAGATGTCCGGAGGGGCAAGTCATACATAACAACTTTAACGTATTTCGCGTAAAATTTTATTTTTATATTTAAAGTGGTAGTAAGATGCATGTTTTCTGTATATTCTTTGCATTCATAAACTTAATTTGCAATAATTTTCACCATCAAAATTTTTAAAAAAATTAAGTATATATATAAAAATGTGAAATTATCATATTGTTACTTTTGAACATAGCTGTAAATAATTTCGACCTATGTAAATATTTCCTGTGCTCATTTTAATTACTTGTTTTCAATTATGCTATCTCATTTATATACATGACAAGCAGGGCCGTTTTATCCATTAGGCACTGTAGGCAACTGCCTTGGGGCCCCGCCACGTTCAGGGGCCCTGTGCTACAGAGAAAAAAATTGACAATGTTTCTTAAACAGTAAAAATTTAATTCGAAATTTCAATGACGATTGTCTTGCTCTGTACATTACATCGACGCTATTTTAGTACATTTCTGAACGCATTCCAAATTAGATATTAATATTATGGTAGTTAGTTCATATATAACGCAGTAATATAATCGCAAGCAATTTTATCGCGGTAATTTTAACGCCGACTAATCAGATGACTGTACAGCAAGAGCAGATCAGTCGCATCAAGAATTCAAAAC